TACACAAACCCACCCAAGAACAAACACACACAAGCCCACCCAACTACCCCTTCCTCTCTATATAACAAGACCAAGGGTAGATCTTTACATTTACTATCACCCCACAAAAATCCTGATGAGTACAGATCACCAGACAGATCAAGGACTATTCTTCTCCCCTTGACCTCTGTTAATTCAAGAAACCAGATCAGGGGCTGATTTCTTTTCATTTAAAGCTCACAGAATCTCCAGTTTCAGGATTTCCCTTTAAAAACTACACAATGTATTAGTTTAATTTAACCCCAAGAGGTTCTGCATCACCTCACTAAACTGTTATCCCTAATGTGGAGAAACAGATCTAAATCCTGATTTAACATTTAGACTTTGAGATATGACCTATCAGCATGACAACCATCAATTATTCTGGGGCACTCCTAATTTTAACTAAGCATTCTGTAGATATTTGTGTTGATTATTCTTTAGTGGGATGGGTTCTGCAGGATCTGACTTTTCAGTGTTTTATTTAACCCAATTTTCCTGTAAACCCTCTATACTTTACTGAGCAGAGTACCTGTATCATGATCCTGATCTATAAAACTCCCAAAGACAATCTGCAAGAATTATTTTTTAAAATTCTTTAATTATTCGAAACAAAAACCTTATTAATGTGTTGTTACTATTATTTCCTTTGATTCCATTCTGACGTTTCTAATATTAAAGAGGTTCTGCAGTAGCTGTGTTTGATCCACGGGGACATTACACAGATTTAGCTGAGAAGGCAGTGTGCATTACAGAGCCTACAACACAAATATCTGCTTTAACACAAGATTCCCAATCCTCTGAGACAGCTGCCCATAATCCTTCACTTTCTATCCCCATATAGTCACACTGTATCTCTTACTGAACATTCTAATCTTTCATTTTAAAATAATCAGCCCTGCATCCCAGCCATACATACACAGGGGCTCTCAACCCCTAGCATTGCCATCTAACCACTGCAATGACTTCTTACACTAACTGTATCTTTAAATAAATTTAAATAAATTTAAATAAAAACATGTTTCATTGTTACCTATGTGTAAATGTAATGAAAAGCCATGATTTGCAGTCAGTAAAGGGGTTCTGATAGATTCTTTCTACACTAAGATCTGGATCAATACCCAAGAGTCCAAGATACATCAAAGACCTGGGTTTGTTTGTTTTTCCCTAAATTTTCACTAGTCATTTTTCCTAAATGTTTGCTTGTCTTGTTCCTGAATCTCTCCTTGACGTAGTTGCTGTGATAACTGGTCACTAATCATCTTATGCTGCTAAAGAGGTAGAAAAAAAGGGTTCTGAAGAAAAGCACCCCTTCTCCCCCTCCCTGCCATTCTCTCTCTCTTTCTCTCTCTCTCTCTCTCTATTTCTCTCCCTCTCTCTTTCTCCCTCCCTCTCTCCCTCTCTCACTTTCTCTCTCTCTCTCTCTCTCTGTTTCTCTCTCCCTTTCGCTCCCTCTCTTTTTCCCTGTTTTTTCTCCTCCTGGGGACTGGAGCCACGTCCATTGCATTCAATCACTCTTAGGATTAACTCAGCGTGGAGGCTGAGCTGGGGGATGTGCTAGGTGCAGCCTTGCAATGCTGCCTGCTGAGATTTGATCTGACTTCCCCATTCCAGCCACTTGATCGCTCTCACTGCAGAGAGCCTGGGCTCAGCTTGCCTAATGCAGAGTAAAATCCCTGCTCACCGCCTCCCAGGGCTGCTGCCTCCATGCCCAGCCAGGGCTTGGGATGCCATGAGTCCCCAGACCTTTGTCTGTCCCCAAAGGCTCCTGGAGCCCTGCTGGAGACACTGAGTGGCCCTCCTGTGTCATGATCTACAGCATGCTCTTGTTGTTCCATCCAGGCAGGGGGAGGTGGTTGTCTGAGCTGCACAGACGCCCATCAGAGGGGGATTTTCTTAATTTCTTCCTTTCCTCGACAAGTGGATGAGCGAGAGCCTGGCAGAGGAGAGGCTGGAGATGCTGTGAGTTGGAGTCACTGAGCCCAGCATTGCCCTGTAGTCACACAGCAGCCTGGCAGGGGGACTGGAAAGGCGCATCCCTGCCCTGACCTTCAGCACTTTCCTTCAGCACCTTGGACAGCGACTGGACTGGTTACTGTATCACCCGCTCATTGGAACATTCTAACCCCAGCTACACCCTGGATTGGGAGAATATCAGGTCCTCCTGAGTGGATTCTAGCCTAGTGGGTGCTGTTCTGGCTTCTTCTCAAGGCTGACTGCTTGGAAATAAAGGTTTAAGGATTAGCCTGGTACACGAACATTGCAAGGTCAAACCCCGATCTATATATATATTGTATTGGATATTTACAGAATCACAGCAGCTGTTTGGGAAAGTGAATTGCCTCTCTTGGATTAAATCCCTAAACGGTGCCCCATGAACACCTTTCAAACTGTTGTTTGTTGGGGATTTCTGTGCATCGTGATGCCCCACACAGCCCAGCTTGCTGGGTGTTACCAGGGTGCCAGCTAAATGTGGGGTGATCAAAGATGCTGTGCCCTACAGATGGTACCCCTTGCATTTTTCTCTGCGTTGGAGAGGATTTTACCAAACCATTCCCATTGCAGCTTCCTTGCTAACCCACTGGCTGACAGCCCCTCTCACTTCCAATGATGAAATCTACTGGGATTACATTACAATCTGCTCCTTTAGTGAAACAAAACAGAGTAGCATTGTAGAATGCCAGTGCTGGGTTATGGCAAAGGGCATAGAAGTTACCAGATACCAAATTGCAAGACTGTAAGATCTACCAGGAGATATCTAGTGATAATTATATCTGCAGGTAAAAAGTACATCTGCAATCACCTTTACTCTGGAGGACCCAGGTAAACATGAAACCTTAATCTTTCCTTAGTATGTTTCTGTGATGTTTTTCTGTGTCTCTGTGGCTGCATTGCAGGCTGTTTTACTTATTAATGCTTTCTCGCATTTGTATGGCAGAAGCTTGAATACCCAAGGGCAAGTGATGTATATGATGTACTGGAGGAATAATTTCTATTAAATGGGAATTAAATCTGTACCTGAGCACTTAATCTGTGCATGGAATATGGGGATAGGCTTGCAAAGCATAGCTGGAGAGACAGCTATCTGCAGTGTGCACCAAAAATCTGTCAGTGACAAAGGAAATTTCAGGTTAATTCTGAATGATTTCAAGTGAGAGTAACATAGTGTTGCAGTAAAAAGCAGACATACAACTGTACAGATTAGCTAGGACCCAGCAGTCATCTAAACCATAATCTACTGCATCTTTCCAGTTTGAGATTATCCCTGTATTATATGTAGTAAGCTCTTGCTATTTAGAATTGTGTTCATGTGTAAAAAATATAAAGATCAGTTATTCCCACTTCTAGCAGTAAATGAATGTGGGATCACTCTAGTTATGTAACCTAGGCAGATGGCTTAGAGACTGGGGGTCTTGGGGGAGGCGCATTATTTTAGTCAAATATAAAAAAAAAATAAGGCCTAGGTTTTAAAATTAGCTTGTTTATCACTTGTATCTTTTTGCACACTTTAAAATGTATGCTGGGAAGATTGAGAAAAAAATGCACTACCATGCAATAAAGGTTACGTTTAATAATACTCTGTCTGTTTTTGGCAACATAGTTTGTGTACGAGATAATGCACTTACAGTACAAACCATACTCATAAATGTTTCATTTTTATGGAGTAGAAGAGGTTAATAATTCAGATGCATTATGCTTTATTTGTCTGGGTGTTTTTTATAGCTGAGAACACTGGCAGTCATAAATTGAATAAGACATGCTTTACATATTGGCCTTGTACTAATTGAGATTTGCATGTTTTTATTTTAAAGAAGAGGAGAAAGGGTGATTAGAAAGGGGATCACACTCTGTTTTTTTTTTTTAAAGCAGATTTAAAGCAGAGTTTTCACATATTTCCATATGATGGCATTTGCTGCCCAGTGGATACAGGAATGAAGCAAGTGGCTGTTTGCACTATCTCTCACAGGTTGGGGGTGCCAGTGGGCCACTTATAAGCATATCTTCTACCTGGCAGACATAACCCCTGCTTTGCCAGATTCTCACTTTCTTAAAGGATCTTGATTCAGCAACGGTATGAATATGGAGGGGAAGCCTGCTATATTCAGCATTTGAAATGTGGAATTAACACCTGCCATGCCAGGCAGGGGATAAAAGATACAATTTTGGCACTAAAGGATAAAAATAGTTTAGTTTTTTACCTTATTATTCCCATGTGGGTTGATTTACTTAAAGGTTCCTGATTTGTCATTACTTTGTTGTGTAGTTGTGAAATGCTCTGTTAAAGGGAATTAAAGATCAAAAGATTAACATGAAGATCCAAATCATTCATTTTACCAGACGCCCCTTCTTAAGATCAATCAAAAGTAGCTTTAAATTCCAAAGTAGCTTTAAGATCATGGGTGTCAAACCATGAATTGTAATATGACCCAGAGCTGAAGAGACAGTGATGCGCCCAATACTTTCCAGAGGAATACATTGTGTGTTTCCATAAACACTGTTTTCAAAATGCTCTCAAGATATTTGGCTAGAAATGATTTTAAATGTCTCCTTGCAAAGCATCTCACTAATTATAAAATCCCCCTGTCTTAATTATTCCTGCATTTAAAATGTTGCATTTAATAAATACGTTCTCAGCAATAACGAGCTCTATAATTTCCTTGGATTCAGATATGGTTGTCAAGCAGATCTTGTTGTCCAAGGGTGGCAAAAAGGCAGATAGCGTGATGTTGAAGAATTACAACTCAGGTGATCCTTCCACAAAACATCCAGTTAGGAGCATCTGCATTTTAGCTGCCCTTGTTTTATAGATTGGTCAGTTTGGTTAGAGGGATATGGATAGATAACTCTAAAACTCTGTTTAAAGATTGTCTTATCTATCTGATTAAGCACAAAGTGGGAGGACTACTGCCCATTTCTGTCCCATAAGCAAATTGTTTCTCTCTCTCTTCCTCTCTGACGCCAATTAAATAGTCCTGTCGTTATTTCGAGCCCAGGGCTGCTGATTCCCAGTCATACACACCCCCTCCCAATTTATTTTTCCTCCCTATTCCATGTGATTCGTAAGAAGAACCCACGCCATTTTTGTGGTGCCCTCTACAACCATTAAACAACACAGATTTACATTATATCAGAGCAGGGTGACATATTTATGCATCACCCCTCCTTCCTTGGGAAGGATTCTTGTACATGTCAGTTATTCAGATTGCAGACTTCACACGCAACTGTAGGAGAGAGCGCGAGGGGGGAACTGGAGGGTGGGGAGAGAGTCAGAGGAGGAAAGGTAGAACAGATAGAGACAGAGAGTGGTAGAGCAAGGTATACACCAGTACACAGAATCAGTGACACAATAGTATAGCAAGGTATATACATATATATATACATACTAGTACACAGAAACAGTGACACAATAATGTAGCAAGGTATATATATACACACTAGTACACAGAAACAGTGACACAATTATGTAGC